CCCCAAAACCCCAAAACCCCAAAACCCCAAAACCCCAAAACCCCACTTATTAAAATAAAATAGAAAATGAATAAAACTCATGCGTCATATGGAGAGCAAATGAAGTTCTGTGATCTAGGACAGATACCTGTTGAGCAAGCCTTTACAGACACAACAATGGACAAAGATGCTATTGGTACATCTCTCTTCTAAAATCTCAGTTTGAAATTCTAAATTTTAGAAATATTTTCATGCTCTAACCCTTGGTATAGCTGACTTTCTACATTTTAAGACAAAGGTAAACCAGTAAGTTCGCTCAACATTAATTACATCCAGGAACATTTCAAAATGTCTCGAACAAGCAGCAAGTAAGAGAGTGAACAGCACCAGAAGGAAGCATGGCTATTTCCAGAAATATTTTCTTGAGAGACAAAGAGAGAAATGGAAAAGAAAATAAATTTACGTAATTTTGTTCCTAAACCTATATAGGAATACCAAGAAAATGGACTTTCTAGGTAGATCTAAGAAGAAAGATCTCTCGCCATTGTCTTCAAGACCGAATCAGAAATTCCTACTCAATTTACCACCATTTTTGAGCAAAAGTAAGATCGCTGAGAAGGAGGCTTTCTCTCCTGCAGATGATAGGAGATATTACTCGAGTATTAGGTCTGCTAAGTATTCACAACCCAAGGAGTTTTATCTGAATTCTTTCCTACACTGAAACCCAAAGTCAATTAGGAAGGAAAGAAAGGTAGTTACGGGGAAGAAGTATTTCAGAAGTAAGCCATACCTAATCTTCTAGTACATCACCCAAGCATGGATAATACCTTTATCGGCCGTTCTTTAAAGTCAGAAGGGAAGGTCCCAAAATTTTTGTCTGCGAAGAACTCAGTCTCGAGTGATTATCAAGAACCTGTGTTGCGAGTTCCTCGGCTTAGGCATGTGCTTTAGAGTAGGATTTATCTAAGCCTATCAAATAAAAAATACTTTAACCTATAACAAGGGGTTTTGGGGTTTTGGGGTTTTGGGGTTTTGGGGTTTTGGGG